AACAACCCATACACACTGCTGCTACAAATTCAATGCAGCTGCAACTAAAATCATGAAGATAAAAGGGAAACATATGACTAAAACCGACTAATTCTGACCTTAAACTTCAAATTGTCCTTCCCAAGACAGTCATTTTATCCTTTAATGGCAACGACCTCAAAGAAAAATAACACAGCTGGTCATGGTGCAGCAGAATACTACTGCAAGTTAAAAAAATCATATTTATTATATTTGTTTGATATCAAAACTCCTTGATGACCTGAAACACTTAAGAATGACCACAAAAAGCAATAACAGAAGAGGGCGGGAAGGGAATGATGAAACGCTTTGAATTGTTTTGAACAGTCAAAAATGTCATGCTGATGATCAGAAACGCTTGAAATATATTTTTTAGGGAAGTTTTATTTTTGGCTCCCACCGGGGCACACAAGCACATTTTTAAGGTTTTTCTGCTTGTTGGCAGGCTGGGAATGGAAGACAGTAACCTCAGAGAGATGCAATTTGGAAATGTCCTTGAATCCACTCGGCAGCTGAGCACCGACGCTGCAGAGGTGTTCAATAAAGAAAGCCTGCGTCTTTGTCTTTGTGTCACGTTTTATATTCCTCCCGATCATCCACTCAGAGAGAGCGACTGCTTGCCGTACACTCCAAATCCCACACCTCCCAGAGCACAGGCGTCTGTTCCTCACACTTTCCTCATTCTTTTCATAGTTTTTTTTTTTTTTTTTTCCTTCTTCTTCTCCTGCTTCTCAGATTCTGGTGACATTTTCCCAGAGCCAGATCTTTGCCTTGAGACATTGCGCATGTGCCCACATCTCTCCAACCCCATGGAAGCACACACATGCAAAAGCAGACACACACGCACACACACACACACACACACACACACACACACACACACACACACACGCACACACACACACGCTCACACACACACGCACACACACACACACACACACACACACACACGCACGCCCACACACACACACACACACACACACACACACACACACACACACACACACACACACACACACACACACTGTTCGCCTGGAGTCAGGCCCCTCAGAGAAGCTGGAGCCCAGCGCAGAGCAGAGCAGAGGCTCCGGCAAATTCTCTGCTCCGCCTGCCAGTGCTGCTCTTTTGATCTGCAGCCAGCTGATGACAGATCTACATTAGGCTCATAGTCTTGCCTGTGTTCACATCCCCCCCCCCCCCCCCCCACACACACACACACACTCCTCTCATACAGGGCAGGGTGCCCCTCTGAAAAGTACAGCATTCGAGTTAATCTGGATTCCAGTGAGGTCACGACTCTTAAGCGTTTTCTTACATCAGACAGAGAAATGTCAGCACAGACTGACTTCCAGATGTCAGAAGAAATCAGAATGTGTGTGGACTGCAGATCCTGTAGAGCAAAAAATAAATAACAATTCTCCAACCCGACACAATGAACCCGTCACATTACCATTCAGACAGTCACCTAAATCTGTATCTTTCTCTAGAAGTGGCTTCAATTTTGTCAATAATTCTCTTAATAATAATAAACATTTACAGTAATCCTTGAAGTTTAACTTTCATCCAACTTAGAGATACTGAACTCAAAGCTGCTGAAGTTCAGTGAGTGACAGCGGCAGCAAACAAACCCGCCTACTGCTCTGTCTGAGAGGCTTCGCCTGCCTTCCACTGCTATTCCTGTGCAGCAGGAATATCTGTTATCTGCCTTGGTGAGCATGTGGAGGTTAAGACCATACTGCTTCTGTTTGTTACTACAGACCTGTGCTTTGATTCACTGAAGCAAAGCCTTTGTGCTGGCTGTAAATTGCCAATCAGCCCGTCACATTACCATTCAGATAGTCGCCGAGACGTCCCTATCAAAAAGGTCACGGCCTGTCTCAGAGGAGCGCAGAGCGTTATTATGTCACTCCCTCATAGGTCGTCTGATGTATTCTCCTGCCAGGAGGAGAGAGGTGCTCACGGATGCACGGCGGTGTTGTGTTTACATCTCAGAACGGCGATGACGTCGGCGTGATGGAGAGTTCTTTCGCCAACGAAACGAGGGCGTCAGCGAAGGAACGAGCGCATCAGGATACATGGGAGCAAATTAGACAGAACAAATGTGAGGAAGCGCAAGGAACACAGGAGTCTGGGCGAACTGACAATGGATTCAGCGTCGCGCCTAACGCCGAGCGCCCGTCTGCAAATATCATACGTTATCGTTGCATCAGTCGCAAAACAGCCTAAAAATGTCAGCTGAATGCGCACGCCTTTTTACCTCGAGTCCTGCACGAGGGCGCCGGTCCGCTATTCAACAGGCGGGCAAATGTCAAGCAAAGTGTTGTATGAAAATGACTAATTTGACCTATATCAGCTGCTTCTTTTCTCTGCTAACACGGTTCACTCTGGTCTGCTGTCAGACTGCAGGAAACACAGCCGTCCTAAACAGAGAATTCGTAAAGTATTCATTGTAATGCTGCTAGAACTGAAGCGATTAGTCGATTTTTGAAATCATTTTTTTGTACATTCATTGCTAAATTAGTCGATGATTGACGATCAAGAACAATTAATCTTATTAATCATTTCAGCTCTAATCCCCCACTTTAAGCTTGGCAATAATTAATCTAGGTAATAAAGAGAAAAAATGTAGAAGTGTTGAACACTTTTCTGATTCCCAGCAGCTTGTTTCAGTGGCATTTTAAATCCCTACCCAGCTTTCAGGCTATCTGTTGCAGGAGAGCATGCCGTCACTTCTTGCAAACAAATCAGCTGCCTTAGAAGCAGACGCTCTTTGAAACTCTGCTCCTCCAAGGTTTCCCTCTCATTTGGAATCTAAACCTCCCTTCATTTTTCTGGGTAATTCTGTCCTGTAGGAGAAACAGCTGTTTGCATGAAACTTTAATGTTCTCCCATACTGAGCACGCCTTTCCAAGACGATCACCTTGATTTGAAGTCCAGAACCCTTCCAGAATTTCTAATACCTCATTGACTGGAGAGCAACACTTTCAAATGTTGCAAATTAGTAAAAACGGACTCCAGTAAGAACGGGGACAGTCCAGAGGAAATGTTTGAAGTATAGAGAATAAAATGCTGGTTTAGTCTCAGTTTACTTTTAGCTCACACTACATAAGAAAACAGAAAACAGAGTCTGTTTTGCATTGACTGTCCCACCAAACTTTTTCTACACACTTTGCAGATTACATTTTTCTGCTCCTGGTCTGATTATTTCACTGTTCTTTGGTCACAAACTGTGTCTTTTTTATTCTGTGGCATGACGGTTTCAGAAAGACCGTCATGCCGTCACTCCGTCACCCTGCACCACGGCAACCGTCACTGTCTAACCGTGACATCTGCCGTGCTCCTCTTGAGCACGGCACTAAGACTGCGGACACTACAGTTCTCTATCATAGGCCAACTTTTTATTGTTTCTACTGTATATATTGTGCATTATTTACGTGATATATAAAAGAAAAAGGATGGAGTAGTTTACTACTAATTGTCAACACTGCGACAGGTAGATAACAAGGTCCAAGGGCATCACAACTCACAGGTCAGGAAAAGATTAAAAAGAAATAGCAGGGGAGTGGGAAGTAGGTCAGTTATGCTAGCTTGACTTTGACAAGTTAATATGTAAATGTGCTGTGAAATTTGGTGTTTCAGTTTTGTTTAAAAAAAATGAGTGACCCATATGCCCACTCTCTAACAGATCATCAGTAGAGCAGCTGCTTAAATGAGCTAATCAACCATCGCTGAGTTCAGACTGTCACTAATAATGGCAAAATAATTAATAGCCTAAAACCATAAAACTGTCTGAGAATGAAGGTTCCGTTCTTTGTGTGGGAAATGTTTTCTGCTGTTAGTGCTGTGGCTGCAGGTCACAGGTGTGCAGTGACAGAGAGCGAGGGAAAAAAAAAAGAACACTAGCAAGTTTTTAGTTTTTCTTCAATGGTTTTTCTGTGTTATTTTTCATTTTGCTGTGGCGCAAAGTTAATACCCACATCTCCAGGTTTCATTTTGTTAGCAGATTTGTCCGAGCCTGGCTACAGATGGCGGGTAAAAGAATTGTATTTTGGCCCTAAAACGTCACGTAAATATGCCTTCTGAACACGGAAAGGGATGATTTTTAAAATGTTTTGGAAACAGGACAAGCTTAGAATTAGACAAGCACAAAAAGCACAAATAGAACTGCTCATCCTACTTTGCATTACTTTGTCCCAGGACCTGAATCGATCTCTTCCTCTCCACAGAATAAATGTATTTCTACGTTTGTTTAAGTTAAAAAAAAGGTATTGCCTTTTGTTTTTAAAGTGAACTTTCTTTGAAACAGTTGTTACAAGCACAATGTGACATTATTAGGGTCATCACAACACAACAGAATTAAAGCATCAACAATTCATGAAGCTGCCTCTGCTTATTGTTTGCACACATGTAAGCACTGAAATGTGAAGCTCATAATTACAGCAGCAGAGGGCCATGTGATGGCAGCAGATCTTCAGCACGCTAATAATTAAGCAAGCTGATGTGCAGAGTGAGCATGTTCAGAAAAAGACATTTACACACACCCAAACACACACTCTACCATTATTGTGTAATCTAAATTTAGAGGAAAATTAATCAGGACGTTGGGTGAGTTGTTGTATCATAGTGGGATATTTGGACTTGTTTAAACTTTGTGAAAGATTGCAAAAGAAATTCAAAAATAGAAAAAGCAATAATGGCACCAAAGTGCAACCACTGCAAGTCACTATCAAATCCGTCAAGCGTACAACTTTCAAGCAACGAATCAAAGCATAATCAACTTCATTGTTGAAAGCATAATGCACAACACTTTGCTCAAAAGGAAATGAGTTTTTACAGCAGCTGAGGTGCGTTTGCATTTCCTAAAGCCTCCTCTCTGTGTGAGAGCAGCTTTCTTTCTTTCTTTTTTTTTTTAACCAGAGCAAACGAAAGCAGCTGCAGGAAAACCCATTTGAACACAAACTACAAAGAGAAGAAGGAATTACCTTGAGAAGTTCAGATGCGTTTGTACCAGAGACTGAGTCGGGTGACGTGGATGGGACACATGAACACGTCTGCTTCTGCCGTACCTGGCGAACGATGACAGTGATCAGACATCAGAGACCAATTTACCAACCCTGAGCTGAACAACATGCCTGACAAAGAAAATTAAGAAAAGTTTGGACAGACATTGTGTGTGAATAACTGGGGTTATTCACACACACACACACACACACACCACCCACACACACACACACACACCACACACACACACACACACACACAACACACACACACACACACACCCACACACACCCACACACACACACACACACACCCACACACACACACACAGCAGCAGCACAAAAAAACTATTAAAAAATGCTTTAAATTCCCAGGGCGGCCGTAGAGTCGACAGACTGCGTCGCCTGGCCTCACAGTTTAGGATGAATCTCTGGAGCCCCCGGCCCGCCAAAGGAGACCAGCGCCGTGCCAAGGATGTCCGAAACGTAACTGTCGCCGTCTGTCTTCCCGCTCAGACACTGACGGTTCTGACAAGGAGGCGCCGCGCTCCCCACGCCGGGGCAGGGTAATTGGCTAGAGTGGTGGGCCATAAACATACATCAGAGGGGCGGCGGAGCGCCAAGCAGACAGCTAACTAAAGGCTCCCCTTCTGCCGAGTGGCTCTTGTTTGTCGTACGCACATGTACACACGCGCTCTTCATTGTCTTGCTCTCCCTGGGCATTCACGCTCTTTGAACACACCGCCTGGCCCTCCGCTACTGTAGTAGAGAGAGAGGAAAAAGCCCCACCACTCCCCTCTATTTATCACCGTAAACCCACTTTGGCACGCTGTGTACGGTATTCTGACTGTTTCCCCAGGAAACAGTCTTTCCTCCTATTATCATCCACTGATATATAGAGGTAGTGCCCCATTCAAAATGCATCATAACCATAACTGATAGGGATGCACCTCTGCCTTACCATTACTACCAGCACACAGCGGTGGGTAATAGGCTATCCTGTTCCTGCCGTGCTATCGCCGCCATGCAGACTTCGCATCCCATTACCATGAACACTTGTGTCATAAAAAGCAGGGAGATCCCTCCAGTCATGACCACAACTCAGGTCGGCCATGTCAGAGGGTCTCTGGGGTTCAGAGAAAACAGGGCTGTGTGAGGGTGTTCCACCCTGTTCCTTCTTATACCCCAACACAAATATCGAAGACGCCCTTAAAACGTATAACAGAAAAAAAAACTGTTAGAAAATGCCACGATTCTACCACTCTAACTCCTCGTTGTTCTCCTGAGTTACATTTCGACCCTTTGTACCTTTGCCGCATGCTTTGCCCCCCTTCTCTCTGCCCCCTTCCTGTCTACCCACTGTCAGAAAAATTGAAAAAGTTGTGTGTGCTGTAAACAATCATCCCCACTGCAAATAGAGAAGTGCCAGCCAAACAATATCTTGGCCAGCAATAAACGCTCCGTTCTGACTTTAATCGCTCGATATTTAGAAGCGTGGCGAACTCTGACTTAGTGGTTTCCTTCACTTCCTCTGTTGCCTTTGCCAAACTATGCACCCCAATAAGACAGGATTATGCCATGACAATACTAAAACAGCACAGAAAATAAACATCATCGTTCACAACTTTCCTTAATTGCCAGTTGCAGGTGGGCTCAAACCACCTTCACTCCACATAGTGTCGGGGGTCCCGGGTGTTTTAAAGCTGGAAAAAGACCAGAACAATTCTTTTATGAAATGTAGATGGTAAATTTCTGCTAACAGCATTAAATACAACTGAGGGGTTTTTTCACCACACATCTGATTAGCTTCATTAGCCTTTGTGAGATGGCTATTGAAGGTAAAGAACTGTTATCAGTATTAACGTCACAGAGCTTTCCTCCAAAATCTTAACTACAATAAACCAGAATGAGATTCTGGAAGATTTAGTTTGAGAAGCATATCATTACAATGAATAACACTGTAATGATATGTAGCTATCCATCTGTTCTGGTTGTTTGGCATGTTTTCGATCATGAAAATGATTAAAGACCTTGAAACCAATGCCAGGTATTTTGGCTGACACAGTAGCAGGTGCTGTACCATCTCATGATGCTCCCCCTAAAGATATTTCTCATATACAACACAGCTTTGCAGTAATGTCCTGAGCTGTGACTTCTGACTAAGGATTTACCAATGGATTGGAAGTGTTTCTAAGACTCTATATTTTCCGCAGACAAGTAGCAACCCAGAGACCCCTCACTTCTCACAGTAAACTGAAACTTCAAGGGAAAAAGTATATCTGACGGCAGAAGCAAGAGAGAGAGAGAGAGAGACAAAGCAACACTCTCATTATTCAGAGAGACACTCAAGGCCACGGGAAATGGCACACTTCATTTTTCTTGTCAAACTTCTCCTGGCTTAATGGTGTGCTCACAGCAAGCGCTGAAACAAAAGGGATGGCAGGGCCAGGCACGAGACGCAGGAAGGAGGGCCGACCGAGACGCCGGCTACCGCCCCAAATCCCTCCCGGCGGCGGACCACCTGTGTCGCTGAACCCGCTGAAGGCGTTCCGCCGGCAAAATAAATGCCTCATCTTTCTGGAAGGTAGACGGGCGCGGGGCTAGCTTTCGCAGTCCAAAATGAAATATGGTCTCAATTACAGTCTAACTATGGAGAGGCACAGATGTTCCTATTGTTCCTCCCATTCCACATCCTCCTGAACCGTCCCTCATTATTGCCTTCATTACCGGTGCCATCGATATGGCAGGCGGCTGCCAGAAAACCTAGATGTATCCACAACTCATGATGCAAACAGCAATTAATCATCCGTCCAGCAATTACGCAATGTACCTCGTATTGATTTCAAACGCTGACACTTTTTCTATTTAATTTATACGCCGGCAGCCCCAACGACGGAGGATACACGAGGCATGCAAAGCAATCTCTCTCCGCATCCACAAAACTCCGGCTGTGTTTTGATCTGAGAAATGATGGGGCAGGTGTTACGGTACACCCTTCATTCCCCTGCATTCCAATTTTAAAGCAAGGCAGTGGGGCTGCGGGGTTAGACAGCCTCTTTTGTTCAACTCCTAATTGGAGTAATTTATTGTCCTAACAGGCAGAGCAGCTGTAGCTTTACAGCATCGCACCAATTAAAACCAGATGCTGGAATGAAAAGATGGGGCTGAACGTGACTGGGGGACCAATCACTAATATTAATTCGGATCACTGTGAGCTGAATACGGGAGGCTCTCTTCAACACTCTGCTTTTACAGACGCGCCGAACATGAGAGGTTTCATGACAGTCAGACCACCGAAATGTCACGCATCATTTCTAATAATGGAGGCCATTATCTGCCAGACTTAACAATGACACAAAATCTACGGGAACGCCCAACAGCCTCTGCAATGACTAGAGATGTGACGTTCACATACAAGTCGATCCTTCTGAACGGCTCTTTACCCTGAACGACACTGCCGAGTCAATGAGTCATTCTATGTTTTTCACAGCTTTTCTATTTTATTTAATTTAAAAATAGATTTCTTTAATTTGCCAATAACTGACATGGAAGAAAGCAGCTCTTGCCCTCATTGGTCACTGCTTTCGTTACGTCTCACCGGCTGCTATTGACGACAAAAATTGCGACATTTCCAAAATTAATTTGCCTAATGAAATTATGCCAATTTTGGAAAAACTTGCATCTTTCGATAAAATATATGAGTTTTTTGTTTTTGTTTGTGAAAAATGACAGCAAAACCCTTTTGGTTTGTTTTTTTTGCATCAACCGAGTCACATGATCAAAACTGAACGTTACCACCAGCACAACATGAAGGAGAAGACGAAACGTAATGGCATGGCGTACAAGTGTTTTGTAAGGAGTTATCACATAAACTCATCCTTGTGTGATAAGGTTTTACTGCATTAGTGGAATATTATGCATATTTGTAATGGAAACGTAGCTACTGAGACAGGATTACTGCAGTGGCAGAGAGGATGAAGACGGTATTATATCACCATAAATATAACTATATTGTTATATTTAAGGATTTTTGATTCTGCCAAAGCCACTCAAGTCCATTCTTTTCCCTTTACCATTTGCTGTAATTTCTTTAAAATGTTTTTTTCCTCAATATTACAAATAGCATAAAATTTTATGAATACACAGATAACATAAAAAAAATAAATAAATAAAAACTACATGGGTATTTGAGATTTCTATTTTGAAATGGTGTAGTTCATGAAAATTCATGCATTCAATTTTGTTGTAAGATTGTGGTGATTTACTAAACACAGATGATTTCATTATTATGTGAACTTCACTTTCAAAAGCAATTAATACAAATGTTGTGTTACGGCTGAAATGGCCTGTTCTTAGAACATTTTTCAAAAGTGGATCATTTCAAACGGCCCTGAAGTGAACAGAATCTGAAGGTTCAGCTCCCTTCCAAGAGCAACAAGCGCCATCACTAGCAGTTAACCAGACTTTGGAAATCTTTCCCTGCCGTCAGTCGTTTCAGTGGTTTGTCACCACAAAACGTGGTCCAATGGAGCGTCGGCTGAAACCAAGCACAGAGTCCGTACCGTGCTGGCCCTCGACTGCCCATTTAGTCGAGGCGTTTTGCACGGAGGGCCCCGGGGACGGACGTGGACGTGAGTAACGTGGAGGGATGGAGGAGGCAGGGAGGAGTTAACACCTTGTCAGCGAGAACAACTTCTTTGGCTTAATATTCAGAGGCAGAAGGCGGTGAATAACGAGAAGTGCCCCGTCGAGGTGTCCGCTCTTTAGCTCATCTGTTACTTCTATGGCATTTTAATAAACTGTTTGTTTCTTCTGGCACCATTTGCTCTTAATGGAGAGTGTCACATGTTTAGCCTATTTATCATTGTGCTTTCTCCTATTCAACAGAATGCTGCCATTTGTCATATGTTGTGTTGGGAAAGAAAAAGAAAGATTAATGTTGTTCATGATACATTATGATAGATTTTATCTTTATTGTGTCAAAAAGTACTGATGTACTATTTCAGCCCAGTTCGAATTTAAATGCGACTTTAATATTTTGGAGCCATCATTGTGGCCACTTTATT